GAGAGAGAGAGAGAGATATATAGCAGGAGAGACAGTGTCTGGTGAGGGACAGGAGATAGTCATGATGGAAGGACGGAGATTTAACAATGTTACAATAAACGAACGACCGAGCGAGCGAGTTCCCGTCGCCTCCCCGGCCGCGCCGCGTCGGCGGAGTCCTGGGATCGCAGATTGAATTGTAAAATAACCGAGAGGGGAACAATGCGTCCCGGTACAACATTGTGTTTGCATTTAAATAATCCGCGAGCCCGCGGGTACGTAATCCGGAGAGCGCCGTCGTGACTTCTTCGTTCCCGTTCATCTATATCTAGCGCTTACAATCTCCGATCTCGTCTCTAAGTCTTTGCAGTGACATTTCTGAACGATCGCATCTCGATAATTACGACATCGAGATTATACGAGTATCGTGACAATTAATTTAATTATTAAAGTTAATTAGATTAGTTGAACTACAGCTGGATCACAGCTGAGATTAATCGAAGAACTACAGTAAAATTTCTGAGTATCTGGATAACGACACCGAAATCATGTTTTTTGACAGAACTTAATTATTAATTAAGAACTTAATTATTTAATTAAATTACATTTGAAATTAAAATGCGGTTGAGGCGACATTTAACTGTCATTAATATCAAGATCTGGATGTCTATTTTATTATATTTATCTTTTTGTCTGTACAGAAAATCTATTATACTTACAAAATTAAAAACTTTTTATTGAAAAAATAGAATGTTTTATTAATGCAAGCTAAAGGAGGAATTATTAAACATAACGCTATATATGAGTAATTACCATAAATTAGAAAATGGGCTGTTCTCTAAACGTCTCTTCTAGTTTGGATAAATTTTAAATAGCTTTGACTAAGTCAACTAGCGAGTATCTCGCGATCGTTGCGATGACCAGCCGATCGACGGTTCGTTCGGCCTGCACTATAATTGTAAGTAGCGAGTAATTAATGCGGTCGATTCGAGTCCGATCCATCCGACCGCTAACCAACGGAATCCGCGAGGCTCGCCGAAGCGCGGGCGGCAAAGGGAACGAGGGATGGAAACGGGGAAACTCGCGACTATCGGGGGGGTTGTTCCGGGTCGGATACCGACATTGTTTCACGGTGGATGAGAATTTAATTTGCACGGTACGAAGAGAGGAAACGGTGGAGGAGAACGAGGAGAAGGTGGAGGAGAAGTAGGAGGATGAGAGAGTAAGAGAGACACAGGAGCGAAAGAGTGAGAGACAGTGAAAGAGGGGGAGAGGGGGAGAGGAGAGGGAGGACACTCGGATGGGTGCTGCCTTGTTTAAGCGTGGGTGGGGGTGTCAAATTGAATTACCCTCTCGTACCACGGCTCCCCGGGGACATTTGCCGGGGCGCTGGCGCTCTCGCGCTGCCTCCAGTTGTCGTGGGTTGCATCGGTATCTGTGTTCGTGCGCATGTAGCGATATACATATATATATATACGTACACGCGCTACCTCCTCCGCGGAGGCGTTTTCAATTAAAATCAACACCGGGGGTTGGCCCCGACCCCGTACCCCATTCGCTCCTCTCCTCGTCGACATGGACCGTTTTGATCTCTCCTCCTAATCGGCGTACCTGTTCCGCGATGCATCCCTCAACCCCCGTACTACCTTCCCGACTCTTTCGCCCAACTCTTTCTCCACGACGAGTCTCGTTGCCTTATGTGCACTGCGTTATTAACTTAATTATATATAACTGCATTACCGCATAACGTATAACCGCATGATAACGGCCCGAATTTTGTATTACGTTATTTGGTAGAAATATACCGGGACCATATGGTGATTTATTTATCATGCATCCATATTCACTTCTATTGTCTTGATTTTTTCATGAAAAATCCTCTTGTGCTGGAAATTATTTTTGTAATAATTTAGAACATGTGTCATTCAACTTGCACACGTTATCCAAATATTTTTACGTCATAAGTTTTTTTCAAAGGATTTATTCAAAAGCGTTTAATTAATAAATATATAAAATAAATGACTTTTATATATCATATACTTATATCTATGTTCATATCTATTTCTATCTGCATCAGCTTTATGTATATTGTAACACGGAAAGTATAATTTTTTTTTAATCTAAAATTTTGCTGAATATTAATAATATTTAAAAATAATTTTATTGGAAACTTTTTAAATTATTAAATTATCCAATTATATAAAACATCGTTCATTATTTTTTATAACATAATTATGTTAATAGTCTAACAAAATTACACACACACACACACACACACACACACACACACACACATATACACACAGATCTGTATAGAAAAATTTTATGCTTCTTTATTTATCCGAGGATCAAAATTTGCTGTCATTTAAAAAATGAAAAATTTTTTGTCTCTTTCATTATCTTTCTCTATTAAAAATTTATTCTTTCAAAAACACTCCGGAAATCTTTGTCGCATGTTAAACTAACGGCGGGGAAATCTCCAGTCACTTATTACTGGCACTTGAAATTTTTCAGCCTCTTCTTTGCCGTCCCCCGTTAAGAGGATAAAGAACTCGATTCGTAGAGCCGACTCTCATTTTCGCCTTTAGCATCCATTTTTTTTCTTCCTTATCCGACGGTCCTTGCAAAGGAAGTCTTCTCGGTGAAATCCAGCGAATCGTTCTCTTTGAGGAAGGCTGCTCGCTGATGCTCTTCTCTTCGCAAATTCTCCGCAATTCTTTATTGCTTTGACTCGTGGAAAAATTACAAAAACATGTCGATTGACAGTTTGCCAAGCTATTTCCTCATGAATCTCTGATTTACTTATCGTGAATATGGCATTCATCATTGATTAAAAAGATTACACGTTTTTCTAAATTGTAGGATATAAAAACATTACGCAAATTCTTTTACAAATTTTTATTTAACAATACATAAAAATATAATTTTCCGCATTAAAAATAATCATTGAATTTTATATATATATTACATTACGCGATGTAACTTCGATGCAATTTCAGTTAAATGTATATTCGATTAATGCTTAAGACTTTTGTTCTTAAAATTAAATCTTTGTAATTAAAAAGATAAATTGTCTTGATACTTTGACTTATTTTTTCAAAGAATTGAATCAAGAGATCAATAGGGACATCATTGTCCTTGGCGCGATTAACGAATCAACCAATTACCGATTACGGAAAGAAGCCGGAAAGAAGGTTAAGCGAGAGAGAAACTGGATTTAATCATCCTTAATTCTGTTCCGTAAATTTTCGAGAAACAGAAAGAGAAAAAGAGAGTGAGAGAAGAAGAGAGAATACGGCGACCAGCGCTTTGACCGCGCGAGTTTAATTTCAGCGGGTCTTTGGATTTGCTTAATCAACGCCTGATAATTAAGGAGGGCCCTTCGAGCGACAACGACGACGACGACGACGACAACGATGACGATGGTGACAAGAACAACTTAATCACACCTTTTAATCGGCACGCGTGTTTTCTGAATCTGCGGATAAATGCGATCACGCTGCCGATTAACTCGTCTTCGATGTAAGGTCCACAGAACGGATCAAATCAAATATATAATTGAAGATAATAAAGAATGAAACGTTTGAAAAAAAACATAAAATGTATTACTGAAATAACTGACTGCAGATTTATTAGTTAAGTCTTCAATAGACAAAATATGCTAATAATTTATCTACATTTTTTTAACTTAAGATTACAGATGAGTTGAAAAAGATAGACAAATTTATTATTATTAACATATTTCATCAATTGGAAATTTTTTACTAATAATAAATCTAACAGTCAGTGTGCCATTTCAATTATATAATATATTTTATGTTCCTTCTCATCGCATTTTTTAAATTATTTTTACATAAAAGCTGGATCATATTCTGTATAAAATAAGCGGAAAGGTGATTTTGTGAAGTTATAGTCCTAGTTTGCAAACGTCGCTTATAATCCAACCTTCAGTTTTCATATCTGCTTTTATGAAATTATTATCGGAAAGCTTCAACCTCCATCCTTTTGTAAGAAAAAAAAGGATCGAATATAAATGGCGGTTTGAGAGCAGCGCGCGTTGCCGCTTACGTTATGAAAAGTCGCGTTACAGTTTGCGATTTAATTGGCCGGCGATCGCGTGGCAGTCGATCGGACAGAGCAAAAACGAGGAGGGCCCGATTTAATTGAGCTGAATGCACCGCCGGACGCGGCGGCACATCCAGAGGGAGAAAGAGCGCTGATCGATAAAGTGAGGCGGAAGAGCTGAGGAGGATGTTTTTTTATTCCCCTTGCGCAAGTGGAAAACGCGGAATTTATTATCGGACACAAGCGCACGAGCGCGACCGTAAAACATCAGAGATTATAATCAATCTCGTCGATGATGATAAAAACCGCGCTGAGAGGCAAATTATTGTCGCGTCGCATCACCGATGCATTTTCCATTAGGTCGAATAGGCCCGGATAACCCAATATAGTCGGCGCAAAATTACACGCAATTCTCAAAACAATGTTAAAACAATCACATTTTTTCAAGCAATTATAGAAACGTCAATGGAAACCAGTTGTAAATGAAGCAGAAGAAGCATAGGAATTATAAACGTGCAAGGTGCATACCTATTTGGATGATATTACTCGTCAGAAACTGAAATAGCTTTCCGTTCGCAAATTTTAATTAAGTAGATATCATATTTTTGCAAATACATTATTATACATTTTGATTAAAATGATTTTTGGATGTACGCTTAATATAATTTATATTAGCGTTTATAGTATATTTTTATTATTATTTATAATTAGTATATCCGTATTGCATTGCCAATATGAGTATTTCTAATCCCTATCTACAAACGTTGTTTATAGTCTAACTTTTTCATAATCTGCTTTTATGAAATTATTATCAAAAAGCTTCAACTTTCACTTCTATAAAACAAATAACAAATTTGCATTTCCTAATATCATCTGAGTGTTAAGATAATTTCAAATAAGGTTACATTGAATATTTATCTTTTCTGACGCTCAATCCAATAATAATTTCTCTTCCAGAATGGATGGGCCGGCGGTGCTGTCGATGCCGCCGCTGACTTCTTCACAAAAATCGGCACAATCGCCGCAACCGCAATCGCATCCGAAACAAAATCAGGTAACACAGAGACACGAGAATGCAAGTCTTGAAATTAATGGATTAAAATTCCATAAAATGATATAAATCTAGACCAATATAGAATGACTGCTCGTGCACGAGGAAGGAGTAAAAGAAAATTTAAAAGAAATATTTTTATATTATTAATTTATAAATAAAATAATAATTCTAATTTAGATATTTTTAATATTATTTATTATTTTATAATATATAATTCGTTACTCTCTTAACATATAATTCTATATGCATATCATATTAATTTATCAATTTATTATTATTAATTTTAATAATAACAAATATTAATTATTTATTCTCTTAACTATTGTATTTATATGTTCGAGTTTAATTAACAATTATTTATAACTCTCTAATGAATTTTTATATATTAGGTGTTGGAATTAATTCGTAGCGTTTTACAAGTGATGGGAAGTACTTTCATTAATGTATTTTTTAATGCTCATGTGAAATAAATAACATTCTTTCATTAAAAAACGCTACGAATTAATTCCAACACCTAATACTTTTGACTGATAAAAATCTAATATTACGTTAATAAAGCATCGAGTTGACTGTAATTATTAGAATAATTTCATGAATCGCTAGTGTCACGGCAGTCAGATAAAACGGTAAACAGATAAAAGATCAAAGTGCAGCGAGGGAATGAAACTGACCCGCGATGCGCCCGAATCTGAGGGCATCCTAGTACGTTTAAATACCGATAGGAGTTGCAGGTGGGTACCGTGTCGCTTTACGGGATCCACATCGTGTCGCTGGTAATCGAGGGACAGGAACGACTGTGCCTAGCACAGATCAGCAACACCCTGTTGAAGCAGTTCAGCTACAACGAGATTCACAATCGTCGGGTTGCGTTGGGCATCACCTGCGTGCAGTGCACGCCAGTTCAGCTGGAGATACTTCGTCGTGCCGGGGCGATGCCGGTGTCCTCGCGTAGATGCGGCATGATTACTCGCAGGGAAGCGGAACGTCTCTGCAAGTCCTTCCTTGGCGACAACGCACCACCCAGGTTGGTACAAGACAATCTGCGATTCCCGTGAAATTGCAAAATTTTCGCAAAAGACCATACTATCTTCTATCAAGAGAAAGAATATTGCCGAGCAACTCTCATTTTAATTTACAAAAATATGCACTGAGAAAAATGTCTGATTGAAAATGGACGAATCAGAATTCTAATTATATCAATCAGAATTCCGGTTTTCACAACTAAAAAATTCTAGTAGAGTCAATAAGAAAATTTTGATTCGTCTATTTTTTTAATCAAAATTTCAATTAATCCAATTAAAGATTAATTTCTTTGTGTGAGGTTCTGACAATTTCATTTATATAATTTTATGACAATTTTATTTATATAACAAGAATTATTTCAATTTGAATATTTAAACAAAAAAGAATCAAATGTTATTCTTTCTAAAAATCTGAACTGAAATTGGAAAACCCATGCGGATGAAAAATGAAAGTTCCATATTTGTTGACGAAGAGTTAAGTTTCAAATTAAAGATCATTGATTCTTCTTGTAGATTGAAGTTTTTACTTCGCTTTTCGATAATTGTAAAAATATTCGCATGTACGATACACTTTGCAGATTACCTGAAGACTTCGCCTTCTCCGTACATCACGAGTGCGCCTGGGGTTGCCGCGGGGCATTTCTGCCCGCTCGTTACAACAGCTCGCGTGCAAAATGTATCAAATGCGCGTACTGCGGCCTGTTCTTCTCGCCTAATAAGTTCATCTTTCACTCGCACCGTATGGGCCCGACGGACAAGTACGTGCAGCCGGACGCGGCGAATTTCAACTCGTGGCGTCGGCACATGAAGCTGTCCGGTACTCAGCCGGATGAAATCGTGCATGCCTGGGAGGACGTTAAGGCGATGTTTAATGGCGGCACTAGGAAACGCTTATTAGGCAATTCGAACGGCTCCCGAGAATCGCCGAGTCCAGCGAAGCAGCCCAGATCGTCGCCGACAGGTGCCGCGCAGATTTCCACCCTGGTGCCGACACCGGCGCATCCCCGCGTACCACCATTCCCGGAACTACCTCTGTCGCTGTCCCGCACTCTCGTCATGGACTACGTATGGCATCAACAGCAGGCGGCGGCGGTCGCCGCGGCCAAGACACCCGGTCCATTCGCATTTCCGCCCTACACCCTGCACCCTTGGTTGGCCAAGCGGAGTCCCGTTCTGTTCCCCGGTAAGATGAGATTTATAAATAAAAAACAATTTCGAAATAATTGAAGAGTAACGTAGAAACTTGAATCTACTTTTAAAAAATTTGTCAAATTTAGAGTTAGAGTTTAGAGTTTAGAATATCTAAGTCCAGTATTCATAGTAGGTTCTTATTTTAAGACCGTTTTAAGTAATGTCTTAAGATGCTAATACGGTCCTCTGATTGGCTTGTGACTGTGCTTAAGATAGCCTTAAATATAAAAATCGGCTATGAATACCGACCTAAGTAATCTTTATCAGTAAAAAATCCATATTTTTCTACCTTAGATTATTGTCCCATTAATTAATTTAAGCATTTATAATACTTACATATTACATTCTTTACAATGATACTCAAATATTTATTCATTAAAACGATCAAGTAGTTATTTATTAAATTTACAGAAAAATTACCATCAGACGTAAAATTATTAATTACATTTTCCATGCTTTACGTTTAGATAAAGCTATTAATAAAACTGAAAACTATTATCATAAAAAACTAATCATAAAATACCTGTTCCTTATTTACGATCATTATTTTTGTACAATCAAACCCGAGTGAGGATCGATTCGACCTCAATTAGGCAGCAATCGCATGTTGACGGTTTCCAGGACCGCTGCCGCCACCCATAAGTGGTTCCAGCCCCACGGAACCGTTGATTCCGACTGTCAATCCACCATTGCATCAATCCGCGTTCCGTCCGGTGATTCGTGGGCCACCCATAGTCGAATCAGCGATCCCAGAGCGACCAACGGACGCTAGTCAAAAGGAGGACAACTCCGACGACGAGGTCGACATCGAGACAACGGAGGATGACCTTGTGACGCCACTCAACGCGAGTCTTCAGAATCTTCACTCGGCCTCGAATTCCGCTATGAGCAGCCACAGCGGACGAAGTACATCGCCGCAGTGCTGGAGTCCTCCTCGAGAAACGGTGAGTTTCAGCTTAAGAAGCTTATCGGGAGATTTATTGAGAAGTTTGAGATCGTCGACAGATTTATAGAAAGACAAAGACTCTTTCCAAACAGTACAACAGGTCACGAGAATTCTATACTTAATAAAATCCTAACTACAAATAATTTTATCAAAACAAAAGTGAAAAAGAAGGGTATACATTGTCTCCTTTTATGTATATTATCTCATTCTAACTTATACCACAGTATAAGTAAGAATAGTAGGTTTACTCTGTGTCGGTCATTGATGTGACTGCTGAACGACCGCTATGTTGTCAGTTGTGCGTGAACAGCGTGAGCACCTATAAGAGCAAAGTTGCTCAATTTCCTTAGACTGTAGTATTTAAAGAGGAAATTGATTGATGTGCCATGTTGTTAGTTGTGCAGAACGGTCACGCACAATAGCCTCATTTTTGGCTGAGTAAACCTACTGTTTTTATCTATACTGCTTATCTGTATTCATTTTAACTTACTGAAGTTAACAAAAACAATGGACTAATAAAAAATTTATCATCTTGTGGCTAGACTTTGTTATAAGGTCTCTAATCACGATAACATTCAAATGATGTTAAAAGAAAACATGACTAATCGAAAAATGATTTTTCACCCTTAATACACACGATTGAATCATTCGTGTTTTTTTCTTTTCTTTGAAATACTAGAAAGAACGTCAAATAATTCACTGAAAAAATGTATCAAATTTTAATAAATATTAGTTTGAATAAACTAACGAAATATTTACTAAATATAAACATATATTTATTTGGCAAGAACTAATTAATTTGATTTTACTGATATTACAGTAAATATTTATTTACAGCTGTAAATAAATATTTATTAAAATCGAATAAATTTTTTTCAGTGCAGTTATAACATTTATATATATTTTTTCTAATACACAACCTTACAGATACTTCCTAAATATATTAAAGTATACGTATAAATCATTTTTGTATGCTTTTATAAAAGTGATAAAAATTAATCTACGAACACATGAACAATTCATCGTATAGAGAAAAAGATCAAAAAATCATCAAATATATTAAGGGTTAATAATCATTTTGAAGCCTCTTTAACGTTACTTTGATATCATCGTCATGAATATTTTAATTTTGCTTAGGATTATATAGATATAGTAAAAATATAATAAAAGATTACTCAAACAAACCGGAGAGAAGTTCCTCGTATTCTACTTGTACAATGATCACGAAGAAGAGCGCGATGCACTTCTGGTCACGATTGCCTCTCGAGGAAGCCGGTGCACCATCATCGTCGCGTGCATCGGTCGCGTGCACGGCGCGACACGCTAGCGTTACAACGGCGTGATTGTGTTTGTCGCGCGCGATTATGTCCTCGTATGACAACGGGGAGGATTCGCTACGGACATGTTTCCAGTGGTGGCGGTATCGCCGCTTATCGTCGAGTGTTTGCGATCGGCAGACTGATAATGGTCGCGCCGCTACCAGTGATCGCACGTGCGTTTCGACCGACCAGCACGTGGCCGTTTACCGTAACGCTATTATTTTTTAAACAACCATCTTTGAGTCCGCACCGCACAATAATCCACTTTAAATTGATTAACAATATTAGATGAAATAGACCGAGAAATGTTATTTAAATATAAATAAGAGAGAAGAATGCTATATTTTAGGTCAAAACGGGTCTTATTGTACATACAAATGCACTTGTCGGTTCTATGAACTGCGTACCGATTCAAATTGATTATATGCATTCAGAAAAATACTAATCCGATTCTATACTACACTACACTTCAATATATACATTATAAAGTTGTAAGCATATTTTTATCAAGAAAATATAAGACTATATATAAGTTCAATGTTCGCAATGATAAGTATTTTTTAACGACTTTTTTATTGATGATGAATTTTTCAATTACATGCTGCACGTTGTGAAAAATTATTTATAACAAACGTTTTTCATAAGTTTACGTAATTTTAAATTACATCGTCCTATTTCTCGAATCTTAATCTTCAAAAAAAGTCATTTGATTATGGAAATTTTAAGCAAAGGTACATTCACTTAAACTGGACAAACACACGAATATAACAGATAAAGAAATTTTAGAACGAATATTAATTATATTATCTATCTTAATTGATCACTATTATTCGAAAAAAAAAATGTATACTAATCAATAGTGCTTTCGGAAATAAAAATCAGAACATTTTTATTTAAAAAGATATAAAAATATTTAGTGCATATTGATCGGAAAATATCTAGAAAACATAAAATTGAGAAATCTTATAGAAAAGAAAAACAAGAAGTCTTATAGGAAATCTTATAGAAACAAGTCTAAATTAAACAGTCTAAATTAATTTTCTAGGAAATATTAAATTTGACACGTTTGAAAATATGTAATATATTTAAAGGCAAAAATTGTCTATTCATTTGTGCAAATAACTTACATAAATAATGATAAGTAAATTTTGTTCTATCTTGAGAGGATTCACATTATCGTTAGTAGTAGCTGCGTAGCATAATCGTCGATTCCTATCCCGAAAAGCAATTTATTACGACATGACTCTTATTCACTCGCTGGTAAGTGAATAAAGGCACACGTCTACGCGGTTTAATAACGGAGTATGTTTGCATTGTAAGGAAAGTAGCTCCGCACCCCCGCTTGATGCGTGACCATGCGACATCCCCCCCTGTAAACGACCAGCGAAATATTTTCCCGCAATATGACACCTAACAGCAAACAAATTGCCACCGCAAAGTTAATCGAATTAACATCGTATCCGACGCTCGCTTTAATCGAGTCCTCCCCTCGAAAAATCGCTTGTCACACGAAATGAAGTATTTAGGCCATAGGTGTCTAGGAAGTTGATTCCTTGCGTTTCGTTTTGAGGGTTCTGGAATTGGTTTCTTCCTAGAATGGAACTTAAACAATAAAATGCGAGTTAATAATAAGTAATGCTTTACTTGTCTCGTGCAAAGATAGTTTGATAACTGTATTTAAAAAATAATCTTTATAAATAATTATTTAAAACACAAACTGGTTGCTAAAATGTTAAAACTTTTTGCAAAATTATTATCAACATTCAGACGTCCTTCATAATTATTTTGATAATCCAATAAAATTATTTTCTCAGTATCTATAGCTAAATTTTTATAGATACTTTAGCAAAACCGCCCAAGGAATGCACAGATCAAAAGAAAATAAAAATAATCTTATATTGTCATCAAAATAATAATTTTTGACGTCAAAATTTGATCGTTTATTAAATACGTAAAATGAAAAATAAAAATAAAATAAAAATAAAATCAGTTTGATTTTTTGTTGATTTTTCTGTATTCTTTAGATGTTCTTTCCATGCAGTAAAGTACCAGAAAGTCACCGTGTGTGTAAAGATTAAATATAAAGTGCAACGATCCAATAATTAACTAACAGAACCTTATTCTCCGCATGAATTTGAAACAAGTGTTTACATGTGAGATTTTATTGTCACATAACGTATTAAATAGTCGTGTTAGAGCGGTATCTTCTAATTAAATTTTTCCAAGGGAAAATATCGGTATATCATGCTTATCGAGGAGTTTAATATCAAAGCAAACTTTGCAGTACGCCTGATCTGTCACATCGGACAACCGTCCGGTCTAAATAAGCTGCCTTCGCGTGACGACCGCAGATTCACTTCCTTAATCCTTCTTTGATGTCGCGGCATCATCATTACCGCGTTGGCAATGTTCATTGAAAACCCATGACGTCTGTGTGTGCGCGCATATATCGGAAGCGTTCATTAATCGTGTCGCACGTCGGTTTCGTTAAGGGCATTCGAACTGCGCGCCGTTCCACACGTTTGTTCGTCGAGAGGGAGAGGGAAGGGGGTGGGGGTGGGGTGGGGAGAGGGGGGGTATTTACCGACACAATAATTATCGCTTTATTGATGATGACGAGGGGTCACCCACCATCGTCGCCACATGAGCAGTCAGACCACAGAGCAAATTCTAGGGACGGAGTCGAGTAGTATTACGTTTGCTGCTACGATGTAAATGGTCGGGGCGGGCACGTCGCTACAATCATTCTGCCAGGCACCCAATTGCTGCCGCCGCCGCCGGCTCGTTACCAGCTAAATTGCCGCGGAATAATTAACCCAAGCACCGTCGAAAATTCCACCGACGACCTCGATGTTAATTGCCGCGTCGCTGCTTTGCCCCGGCTATAAATATGCGCGTAATGATTATACGCGTAATATTACATCGAAAGGAAAATGGAAATTATGTGCAAATAATTGGTAGTCACGAATTAATTCCTTTGTAATAGAGACGTTAATTTAAGCTGCTCGAAATTCCTCGTTATTTGCTAATAATCCCTATGTTAATGCTCTCTCCACAGTCCGAGTCCAATGAGTTAATGGAGAATTTATAATATAAGGATTCTTTCCTATTTGAAGTTGTTTCCTTTGATTTTAAGTTACTTTAACGTAAAAAAAAAAAAAAAAAATCAAAAAAATTATACAAATCTGAATGTTAACTCTTAAACGGGAATACTTTGGTATTATATTATAACATATTTAACCCAATTTGATTACTTATAACTTTCATAAAAATGTACATTGTAAACAATTCTTTTAATAGGAACCAAATATTAAAAAACCAACGGTGTCAAGCAAATGCATGTATTTTTAATACAAAGTTATAAGCAATGAAAAAAGCATTGAAAAAGCATCGCAAAAAGTAAGCGTAAGTAAGGGTATGTCATATCGAAAATTTGATGGTTAAAAGCTAGAAAAATTAGAATTCTTTTAATAATAGGAAGAGTAACTATAAAATTATTATATATAAAGGCACTAAGAAAAACTAAAAAACAATCTTCCGGATCATTTCTTTTTTGTTTCATCGGAAACAAAAAAGTTTGTTTGTTCCCTTTGTGCACAAACCCTTCAATTAAAAACCCCCTCGCACTTTTCACTTGAAATTGTTAGAATTAAAGGGTTAATGCCGGACTACTCTCGAG